AGGAGACACACAACATAAAATATATTTTTTTAAACAAAGGCAGTTTAAATCTATCTCATCAATATATATATATATATATATATTTGTATGCTTATTCAAGAGACCCAGAAAGACGTGGAAATGGAGCTTAAATCATGTTTAATTTCCTGCAGCTTCGTGACTGTATTGATGTTCTCTGTTAGTTCCTTGCTGGCAAGTAATAAATATATATATATATATGTAGAGAGAGACAGAGTAGCCGATTTGGTTCTCTTTTAGCTGGAAGCAGCTGGTGAATCCGTGACAGCACCGGCCATGATTAAGGCCATGCAAGGCTGATCGCTAGGTACCTGCATTAACATACAGATAGTGCACCAAGAATCCAATAGAATTACTAAGCTTCTATCGCGGTAGCTGTTAAAGGCTATTATATATATATATATATATATATATTAATCAATGACTAACCATATGGCCGGCACCAAGAATCCAATAGAAACGAAGGTTTTTGTATGACTTGACGAAACCTTTGGTCTTTTTGTCACTTCCACAGTAGAGTGGTGTTCTTTCTTTCCCCAAGAAATTTGGAAGCCCTTCCCACCTACAGATTTTTTTTAATTTTTAATTAAATGAAGCCTTTTGCTAAATTTCTTTTGGAAAAAGAAGCTGGGAAGAAGAAAAGAAGAGTTACTTGAGCTTCCTGAGCCAGGCTTCAACTCCCTTGGTTGCACAAATGACATCAAGCTACAAGGACCACACACGTTTAATTTTGCCATTATTGTGATCGACCCTAAACGATAGGTATATATGAAGACAAAAAACATCACGTAACATCATTCAGCGGTGTTTATTCAAGAAAACGGGCCCATTCATCCAATTAAATTAATTCGTTGACACATAATTAAGTGGAATTTCCAGCCATCGCCCCCAGGCCTCAATTATGAGAAACACACTACTAAGAGTTGTCTGGAGAGACTTACTTGTCCATTGTACACATTCACGTTCACTCCCTTCGCGAGCAGCTCGTCCACCTGGCAGAATACAATGTGTCAATTATTTTCCAGAAAGGTTTAGGCTGTGATCGATAACGTCATCTAATCTTGTGTAATTCCTAATTTACTACTGACATCGACGCGGTAATCATTATATACAATGAAATCCAATTTTCTGTACATAACCTGCGCATTTTCCAAAAACACGATTTTTTTTTTAAAGAAAAAACTGAATTCGCATTCCATATTGGACGAGGAAACTTCTATAATAGAGCAAATCATCAAAGAGTTTTCTTTTCTTTTCTTTTCTTTTTTTTTTTTTTAAATATTGGAGAACTCACAGATAAAATAAGTCAGGAAGGATTTATGTGCTTATCACAGGTACCTCGGCAATTCTTGGTTTCATGAAATCAACCTCAAAACTATCAAACACAGCATCTGACTGAAATTGCCATCTGTCATCACCACAGTTGCTAGCCGGTCATGGTTTTTAAATTTGATTCCTGGAGCGTGAAATAGCAAGAGACTTAAAACTCACATAACATTATTCGGGATAATCCCCAGCTTTTCCTTGATCTCTCCATTCAACAACTTCACAATCTCTTTATCCCCGCCACTTAATGAAGACAAATATTTGGAGTAGCGTCTGTGTCGGGTTCCTTTGGCTGAGCTTATCCCCGCTGGTGATAAAGATGCTGACTCATCCTCCCAAGAATCTAACAGGAAATTGTAAATATCCTGGAATGAAACCATGTTAACTTCTTCCCCGAAAAAAATAATAGTCTTAACGATAATATTACAAAGCTAACTTGGTTTCGGGGATAAAACGTTGAGTAAAAATTACAGTACCACACTGTTGCTGCTATTAAAAATCTCGGTCTCAAGTTCGCGCCATGAATCAGTTGCATTAACAAAAAGGCCATCCTGGAGTTGCTTCTTGATCTTCTGAGCTATACTGTTAATGGGCTTTGTTAGATAATCGAGAAATTCTTAAAGAATCAGACTATGCTTTTCTCTTAGATTTTTGTTGGATCTAAGAAGATGGAAATAGTAGGAGAAGGACCTGTTGGATCTTCGAAGCCCGTTATCGTCAAGTCGTGAGACGTCTTTGAGCAGGGGACCCCATGAGAACTGCAATGTCAATGAAACAATGAAAATGCGAGTCTCAATATAATGGTGAGCACTGGGCAGAGTATTGATTCAAGCAGATACCACGAAATCTTCAGGTGAGATCCAGCTATTCCCTAATGCCACACCTGCACAAGACATTTCCATTTAGAATCATGTTAACAGATCATTCATCTCATTTATGAAGCTAAAGGGCTTTCAAGGAGGGATGATAACCTCCAAGCTTGACAAACAATTTGCCCGCTTCAATGGCTTTAAGAGCAAATAATCCAAGGGTAACTGCAAACTTTCCACCGTAAGACTCTCCCACAATGTAGAGAGGACTCTTTTGGAGGCTTTCATTCTTGTTGAAAATACCAATCAGCAAAGTAGTCAAGTCAGTGGCTGCTTCCTCATCTGTTTTCACGAGGAGTTCGTTATGCTCCACGTAACTGTACCCAGTTCCAACTGGATTATCCTGTATATTACTCGTCGAAATGAACCAACAATTTAAACAGAAAAGCTAGTAACTATAGTTCTTTCATTATGGCTGGGTTAATTACCACAAACAGGAGATCTGCTTTTCGCAACCATGTGGAATTTCTTGGCTTCAACTTGACGTCTAGAGGTCCAACCTCTTCAAAGTTTCCGTAGCCAATTCCTGAAGCGCCCTGGTTCGACATTCACACAAGCTCAGAAATTTTGGGGGGCGAAGGGACCTCCGTTTTTGTGCATGATCAATTTTATAACGCACACATAATATAAAGACAAAATCTGGGTTTCTCTCTGTTAGTTTGGCCTTCGTTTAGCAATACTCACAGGTCCTCCCTGCAACCAGAGAATGATTGGCCATGGCTTGGATGGATTTTCTACTCGGTAAGGACTTTTGTAAAGCCACCAGAACATGTGGGCTTCTGTGATAACAATCCAAAGAACAATTGAGTGCATCTACAGCATTCTCATGAAAGTTATCTCTTTGAAATATGATAAAATGATTGCAGATTATAGAATTATAAAACATCCAGCTTACTGGATCTGACTTCAACATATCCCCATTCCTCTAATCCATCATGGCCCCTCAAAGCTGCCACTGTTGTTCCAAGAAATGGCAGTCCAAAGACAAGAGAAGTGACGATAAGAGCACGCAGCTTGTCCATGATCGATGCTGAATACAACTGCGGGGCTGAATAGGTGTATAGTATTAGTAATGACAGGTAATTTCAAGTTTTTTTTTTTTTGCAGGAAACAAAATATTTAATACATCAGAGTCGAGTTATATTTGACTAGAAGTTAAATAACAGCGAATTATTTGACAGATAAGCTAAACCAATTGTCAAATTGTCAAAGATAAAGTATAAAGGCAGCACCTCAATTTAGACTTTAAGAAATATATAATTCTTCAACTCTCACATTGCACCAAAAGAAAATCATCACAGATAATTAGTGGATGGGCAAATGGAGATTCAAATCTATATAAGAGTGACCTCAGGGAAGATTAACTTCCATACTGAAATTATGAAAGATGGGCATTAAAAATATCTAAATTAACTACTGAGAAAAATAAAAAAAATGATTATTGAAAATATTAAAGAGAACCATTGAAAAAAAAAAAGAATTTCAACTAAGGGCCATAGTCTATTTATGAAGTTTTATAATTTTAGAGTCTTTAATTATAATTACTATTTCTAGAAGGACCTCAAATGTGATTTTCTCATATTTGGGAGATTTGGAAGGAAAAAAAACGTACAAGAATATGCAACACTATTATTCTCCCACGAGTCTGAGCGGCATCGTGTATGTACGATCATGATGTCATTTGTATCGGTTATAGCGAGGGAAAACAAAAAGAGAAGAGGGGCCAATAGTTGTCTGTTTTATTGTCATCCATGGACTCATGGCTTTAATTTGTGTGGATACTCCTGCAAGTAGCAGAGATAAGCACGGGGGCAGAAAGTTCATAACTCACGTGCGTAAAAGGAGACTGTGGTTGAGATGTGATAACAAAAGCATTGCTAAATGGAATTAGTTCATTTTAGGTGTATGCTTTACGGTACTGCATGGAGATGTGAGTTTATAAGATGGCTCATATTAATGTCGCAATTTTTTGCGGTTGCAATCTACGATGGTAACAAAGATCTGCCGTTGTTTCCTTTTCCATAAATCTGGATGCTCCTGCATTATCCGGTTCGAGATGGGTTTCCCTTTTAATCCCTGTCGTCACATCCATGTCAACATTTACTATTTGGACCGTTCTATCAACTTCTACTTTTATTGCTGCCATCAAGGGTTTTCATCTTTTAAATATCACGCGTTTACTAGCCACAGAATTTATCTCCCATAATGCTGCTGCGTTTAGGGTGAGCAAAACTCAATCAAAACTAAAAATTAAATCAAATCAAATTAAATTTTATCTATTTGATTCAATTTTTTAGTTTTACTTAATTTTCTTTTAATGAAAATTTCAGTTAATTGATTCAATTCGGTTTAAAAATTTTTGAACTAAATAAACTGAACCGACTGAATTATACATATTTTTTATATTTTTAAAAATGTAAATAATTCTCATTTAGATGAGTAAGAAATATTTTTTTTATCACACTTGCAATAGTAGAATTTTTTTTTTGGTTTAATATGATGTTCTAAGTTTTTTATTTCCATAATTTAATTTTTAATGTCATAATATTGAGTCTCATTAATTTTCTTATAAATTATGATATAAGATTATTATTATTTTATTGGGTCTTCAACATCAATGGATAAAAATTGAATAAAAAAATATATGAATAATTAAATTTCATAAATCGAATTGAATCATCAATTTAGTTTTAATTTTGTTAGATCATGTATTTTGATTCGATTCGATCTAAATTTTTCATATAATTCAGTTGATTGGTTTTAAAAAAATTGAAATCAAAATGAACGAATGCCCACCCCTAAGTCTGCATTCAGCTTTCTGTAGTTTCAAAATATAAAGGACGAGGAGGAACACACAAGACATGGCATTTCACAAAATTTCCTCGCATGGCTTGGGTTATTTATTTGCTTGCTGAATCTCCTTTATTTTTGTTGCGAGCTTTCCTGTTCTACAATAGTTATTTTGTGATGAGTTTGTCATAGCACACTTGCTGGCCCCCCTTAAATCCGTCCATGCCCATTTTGTTGCATACACTCCCTCTAGCCTGTGATCCTTCTTATAAAAAACAAGTAACTAATTCATCAGGATTAATAATCAAGACATGCGGTTAAAATTTCTTTCTAAAAATACCCCCAGTTAATTGGTCGGTAGTTTTTTACACATTAATAAATACTCTTTTTAATGAGAGTAAAGAATAATAATAATAATAATTAAAAATACACAAGAAAAGGCATTCCACAAATTTTCCTCCCGAGGGTTGAGTTATTTCAAAGCTTGCCGAGTGCTCAGTATTGTTTTTATTTGCCTGCTGAATCTCCTTTATTTTTGTTGCGAGCTTTCCTGTTTTACATTACTTACTTTGTGGTGAGTTTGTAATGGAGGCCACCATATCCAATGCCACACAGGGTTGATCAGTGGGTACCTGCAGAAGCCAGCAAACAAATAGTAAGACAAAACCGAGAACAAACATTGACACTTCATTTTCTGATTCTCTAAGGACACGCAGCATTGGAGAAGAAAATTTGGCCATGCAGTCCACAACTAAGTGGAATCTCAGGAAGCTCTTAACCGATATCATAAAACGAAATCATGGGATCTGCTGGTGTTTGGCTTTTTATAGCAGCATCACACCCCATTTCCGCCATGGCTTCATTCTGAATTTTTTAGGGTATCAAAGTTTGACAGCATATTGTCACGTTTCGTCATTTTTCACAAGGTCCGGAATGCTCCAGAACCCTCCAGAAGGCTCCCAGCTAACCTTAAGAGTGCTAGAGAGTGCAAGAACATTCTAGAGAAGCCTACACAACTCTAGCCTCAATATTTTAATATTGTCTCTAGATTCTTCCATTAAAATATCTAGATATTTGTCAAGAGAATTCTAGAGAATCAATTGTAACCGTAGGATAGATTTAATCTCCACCGTCCATTAAGGAGGTGGGAACATTCTAGATCCAAGGGGAGGCCTATAAATACCTCACCCCTCCTCATTTGTAAATCATCCTTGAGTTCTCAAAGCTATAGAACTCTCACATTCTCTCTCTACTCTCCTTTGCCTTCAAGCTTTCCCTTTCCTCTTCTTAGCCAAGCATCCTCCTTTCCTACGAGTTAGGCTTACTTAGCAACTTCCCGTGAAGGTTGTCTAAGTGCCGCACGGGTCGAAAGACTAGCCCCGTGACAGTTGGTATCAGAGCCCGGTTCTACCGTTGTGCTTGAAGGAAGGTATTGTACGATGGCAACTGAGGAAGGAAACGTCGTTGGCACGGAAGCACAGGAGCAAGCTCATGCACAACAAGAGCAAGCTCACCCCAGGTCCAAGCGAGAGCGAGGCCGGAGCAGGGCACCCGCAGGTGAGTCCCTTGAACCTCGTGTTGGTAGCTTGGAATCTAACATGGAGGAAGTGAGAACTACTATAGGGGGACTCAACGATCAACTCAACAATCTCCTCCAAGAGAATGCTGAGATAACGCGGGCTGCCAAGTTGATGATTGCAGACCTTAACGATGATTTAGGGGAAGACATTCGTTCCCTCAGACGTGATCTCGCCGATCTCCGCAAATATGTAAGAGATGAGGTACGAGGTCTACGCTCTCAAATGGATGAGATTCGTCATGAATGGGATTCTCATCACTGTGTGAGTAGCCCTATTAGTGGTAGTACTTCAAACGCCACTTCTCAGGGTCTGAAAGTGCCCAAGCCGGCCATGTACAATGGGGCTCGTAGTGCTACAATTGTGGAGAACTTTCTCTTTGGCCTGGAACAGTACTTCGAGGCCATGGGAGTCTCTAACGACTCGATCAGAATCAACAATGCTTCAACTTTTCTCCGGGATGCAGCCCAACTATGGTGGCGCAGAAAGCATGCCGAACGAGAAAAGGGCCTTTGCACTCTCAACACATGGGAGTTGTTCAAGTCAGAACTCCGCAAGCACTTTGTTCCCCACAATGCTGAGACAGAGGCTCGAGGTAAGCTTCGTAGATTGAGACAAACTAGTAGTATTCCTGACTACATCAAAGAGTTTACTACCATCATGCTCGAGATCGAGGACCTGTCCGACAAGGAGGCTCTTTTCTACTTCATGGACGGACTTAAAGACTGGGCGAGAGTAGAACTGGATAGACGCAAAGTGCAAACCCTAGATGAGGTAATTGCTGCTGCCGAGTCTATAATCGACTACTCCACCAAGTCCAAAAAGCCTAATCCTGGTAGCAGTGGAGGAGACAAAGGAGGACAAAAGAAGAATTTTGATCGTAAGGATGGTGGTAGAATCTTTGGTGGGAGTTCTAGACAGGATAAACCACCCTCAATCAGGCGTGATGCCTCAAAGCCACCGAGACCATGCTTCATGTGCGATGGTCCACACTGGACTCGTGACTGCCCCAACCGTAAGGCTATGAATGCCTTGGTTGCTGAGATGAAGGATAACCGGGACAAGGAGCAACAGATCGACCTTGGTTCCCTCCAACATTTGAATTCCTTGACTGGACTCTTTTCTCCATCTAAGAAGGAAGAGAAGGGTCTACTTTATGCTGATCTTGCCATTCAGGGCAAGTTCGCCTCTGCCATGCTCGACACAGGAGCATCCCACAACTTCATGGAGGCTGAAGAAGCTAAGAGATTGGGTATCCAACTCAACAAGGGAGAAGGCACCATCAAGGCAGTGAACTCCCCAGCCAAACAAGTCCTTGGGATTGCCAAGGATGTGAAGGTGAAGATTGGGGACTGGCAAGGTACGTTAGACTTTACTGTTGTCCCTATGGATGATTTCAAAGTTGTATTGGGACTTGCTTTCTTCTGCAAAGCACATGCCTTCTCGATTCCTGAAGCTAAGTCTATGGTGGTCATTGACTCCAACATGATTCGGGTAATCCCCTTGAAACGCTTGGAGAAATCTAACCCTATGATTTCTGCCTTGCAATTCAAGAGGGGTCTCAAGAACTCAGAGGGGTATATTGCCACTATACGTTCATTGGCCGAGGAAGGGGATGACCCAACCAAACCACGGGAAACCTTGCCACCTTGCATCCAAGAGGTGCTACAGGAATACAAGCACGTCATGCCCGATGAGTTGCCCAAGAAACTACCTCCCAGAAGAGAGGTAGACCATCAGATCGAGTTGGAGCCTGGTGCCAAACCACCTGCCTTGACACCTTACCGCATGTCACCTCCAGAACTTGAAGAGTTAAGGAGACAACTGCAAGATCTCCTTGATTCAGGATATATTCAACCATCTAAGGCCCCATATGGTGCTCCAGTCCTTTTCCAGAAGAAGAAGGATGGATCGTTGCGAATGTGCATCGACTACAGGGCCTTGAACAAGATTACCATCAAGAATAAGTACCCGATACCTTTGATCGCCGACTTGTTCGATCAGCTTGGAAAAGCCAGGTACTTCTCTAAGCTTGATCTCCGATCCGGGTACTATCAAGTACGCATCGCCGCAGGTGATGAACCGAAGACAACCTGCGTGACGAGATATAGAGCATTCGAGTTTCTTGTCATGCCCTTTGGACTGACGAATGCCCCGGCAACGTTCTGCACACTCATGAACAAGTTGTTCCACCCTTACTTAGACCAGTTTGTGGTGGTATACTTAGATGACATCGTGGTGTACAGCAAGACTCTTGAAGAGCATGCTCAACACTTGAAGAAAGTCTTCCAGGTACTCTCTGATCATGAACTTTACATTAAGCTGGAAAAATGTTCTTTTGGTAAACAAGAGGTGGACTTCTTGGGGCACAAGATCAAGGATGGAAAGCTCATAATGGACCCAACTAAGGTTCGAGCCATCCAAGAATGGCAGCCTCCCACCAAGGTCCCAGAGTTAAGATCATTCCTTGGTCTGGTGAACTACTATCGGCGGTTCATCAAGGGGTATTCAACTATCACTGCTCCATTAACAGATTTGCTCAAGAAGAATAAGTCTTGGCAATGGTCACAAGATTGCCAAGATGCTTTTGAAAAGCTCAAGCAGATGGTCGCGCAAGAGCCTGTTATGTCCTTGCCCGACTACTCCAAGCCATTTGAGGTACACACCGATGCCTCAGACTTTGCAATAGGAGGCGTGTTAATGCAAGAAAGACACCCTATTGCGTACGAGAGCCGCAAGCTCAATGACACGGAGAGGCGCTACACGGTGCAAGAAAAAGAGATGTCTGCCATTATCCATTGTCTACGAACCTGGCGTCATTACTTACTTGGGAGTAAGTTTACTATTATGACAGACAATGTTGCTACGAGCTACTTCCAAACACAAAAGAAGCTCAGCCCAAAGCAAGCTCGTTGGCAAGATTTTCTTGCTGAGTTTGATTATCGGTTGGAGTACAAGCCAGGCAAAGCGAACGTGGTGGCGGATGCCTTAAGCAGGAAAGCCGAATTAGCCACTCTCTCAGCAAGCATGCCCCAGAATGACTTCCTTGAACGAATCAAGGAAGGTATGTCTCAGGACTCATCTGCAAGCAACTTAGTAAAGCTTGCTACTGAAGGCAAGACTCGAAGATTTTGGGTGAATGATGGAATACTCTACACCATTGGGAACCGAGTCTATGTGTCGAAATGGGGCAACCTTCGAAGGGATGTCCTAAAAGAGTGCCATGATTCCATGTGGGCCGGACATCCAGGTATGGCACGAACACTTGCTCTCGTACAAAATCATTTCTATTGGCCACATATGCAAGATGATGTTGAAGCATATGTGAGAACTTGCTTAGTGTGCCAGCAAGATAAGGTTGAACAACAACATCCTGCTGGTCTGCTCGAACCTTTGCCAGTGGCTGAGAGACCATGGGAGAGTGTCTCCATGGACTTCATAGTTGCTCTCCCTAAGTCTGAAGGATGTGGGAGTATCATGGTGGTGGTTGATAGATTCAGCAAATATGCCACCTTTATACCAGCCCCAACAGATTGCAAGGTCGATGAAGCGGCACGCTTATTTTTCAAGCATGTCGTGAAACTATGGGGGATCCCTCGCAACATCGTGAGTGATCGAGATCCCCGATTCACCGGGAAATTCTGGAGAGAACTTTTCAAGCTCTTGGGGACAGACTTGAACTTCTCAACAAGCTTTCATCCTCAGAGCGATGGACAAACGGAGCGAATCAACGCTTTGTTAGAGCTCTACCTTCGCCACTACGTGAGCGCTCATCAACGAGATTGGGCTAAGTTGCTCGATGTGGCCCAATTCTCTTACAACTTACAGCGAAGTGAGTCGACAGGTAAGAGCCCTTTTGAGATAGTTACCGGACAACAACCTCTAACCCCCAACGCACTTGCCACTCCATACAAGGGAGACAATCCAGCTGCCTATAAGTTTACCAAGGGATGGCAAGAAGAAGCCGACATTACTCGTGCATGCCTGGATAAAGCCTCTCGAAAAATGAAGAAGTGGGCAGACAAGAAGTGGCGCCCCATTGAATTTCAAGTAGGTGACTTGGTCATGGTTAAGTTATTGCCGAATCAATTCAAGACACTACGCAAAGTCCATAAAGGCTTGGTCAGGAGATATGAAGGCCCTTTCCCTATCATCAAACGTGTGGGAAAGGTTGCGTACCAGGTACAACTCCCTCCCAAGCTTAAGATTCATCCTGTCATCCATGTTAGTCTCCTGAAGAAATACTACGGAGATGAAGAAGATCCATCTCGAGGTATCTCTAAGAGAGCACCGACAGCGGTCATCACTGAGTACAACAAAGAGATAGAAGAAATCCTTGCCGACAGGGTGATCAGAAAGAGAGGAGTTCCCAACTATACTGAGTACTTAATCAAGTGGAAGGGTCAACCAGACTTTGAAGCTAGTTGGGAACGTGAAGACCTCCTGTGGCAGTTCACCGACCAAATCCAACGCTACAAGGAGGAAGGCGCGACGAGGGCGTCGCGAAATCAAGTGGGGGAGAATGTCACGTTTCGTCATTTTTCACAAGGTCCGGAATGCTCCAGAACCCTCCAGAAGGCTCCCAGCTAACCTTAAGAGTGCTAGAGAGTGCAAGAACATTCTAGAGAAGCCTATACAACTCTAGCCTCAATATTTTAATATTGTCTCTAGATTCTTCCATTAAAATATCTAGATATTTGTTAAGAGAATTCTAGAGAATCAATTGTAACCGTAGGATAGATTTAATCTCCACCGTCCATTAAGGAGGTGGGAACATTCTAGATCCAAGGGGAGGCCTATAAATACCTCACCCCTCCTCATTTGTAAATCATCCTTGAGTTCTCAAAGCTATAGAACTCTCACATTCTCTCTCTACTCTCCTTTGCCTTCAAGCTTTCCCTTTCCTCTTCTTAGCCAAGCATCCTCCTTTCCTACGAGTTAGGCTTACTTAGCAACTTCCAGTGAAGGTTGTCTAAGTGCCGCACGGGTCGAAAGACTAGCCCCGTGACAATATGCTTGGATGCTTAGAGCGTGTAATCCTATCATGATCTTCATTAATGTAAATGTATTGGAGTAAGTGACGGATTCACAGTGGGGCAAGCAGGGGCACAATTTTTTTTTTTTTCAAAAAATTGTTTCATTTTTACTTGAAAAAAAATGCTAAAACTAACCTTTGCGCCTCCACAATTATATGATTTATCATTTTGGCCCCCCCAGAGAGTCATTTTGGGATCCATCCCCCACGCTTTCGTTAATTAACTTTTCACTTTTTTAAGGAAAAGGAAAAGGTATTTACCTTCATGGAGGGAAGTAATAAAATTATGAGAAACATGAAAAGAAGAACCGTGCATTTATGCTTGTCTGAGAAAAACAACACAAGAAGTATGATGATGTGTACTCACAAAATGGCCGGCACCAAGGATCCAATAAAAGGACAAGTTTTTGTATGACTTGAGAAAGCCTTTAGTACTTTTGTTATTTCCACAGTAAAGAGGTGTTCTGTCTTTGTTCATGAAATTTTGAAGCCCTTCCCACCTACAACAGAGGCGTGAAACTATATTTATCAGAAATAACAAAAAAGTCTCGGGATATTAAATTATGGAGAAAAAGGGAGTTACTTGAGTTTCCTGAGCCATGCTTCAGTCCCCTTAGTGGCACAAATGAGGTCAACCTATGATAATTACAGACAGATTATTTGGCTATAATGAAATAAAAATAATAAAAGATGCTCATTTGATTGAACGTGATTCTGTAGTGAAGGTAAAAACAAGATAGTCACAATTATCAAGTTTTAAAAGACTCTGCTTTCATTGGTTGAGCTCTGCATTATTTCAAAGATAGACAGCATGGACAATAATTAAGGTTGACCATTACATAATGGCACATCTAAATATAAATCCTTTGCTATCATTAATTCTAGTAATATATTAATAGCCAAAGTATTGAGCGGGGAAAATATCTTACTTGTCCGTTGTACACAGTCACATTGACTCCCTTGGCTAGCAACTCATCTACCTGAGCAACTTCAACTTAAACACGTCATATCCCAAGAAAGAGAAAAACGAAAAAAAAAAATTAAACTTTTGAAAATCCAGAGAGTAAAATGCTCAGCTGTAACAATTCTCTGTATTATTTACCTCAGTTCTATTAATTAGAGTAAACTGATGCTTAAGTCAGAGATCCCATATGTTTATCTTCTTACCTCATTAATTCTTGGCTTCATAAAATCGCCTTCCAGGTATGTGAAAACATCACCAGATTGCCCTCCCCATCTGTCAACATGTATGGAATACTTGGGAATAAAGATGGAAACTATTTAAAGCTTGATTTATGGGTTCATCAAAAAGTAAATCAAATCATGTGATATCATATAGTAGATGACAACAAAGACGAATTGATTCCCATAAAGTTGGAATAATGAAGTGAGAAAACAGCAATGGCTTTGCGGGGAAAAATTACTAAAGTAGACTTACGTGACATTCTCAGGAATTATTTTCAACTTCTTCTTTATGACACCATTTAGTAAGGTGTCAAGATCAGCATCCCCACCCGGAGATGCCCTCCTTAAGGTAAGATACTTGGAGTACTGGCCCATTGCTATTTCTCTCGATAATCCCAACTTCATTGCTAATAATGTTGCTGAATCACTTCCCGAATCCAACAGAAAATTGTAAAAGTCCTGAAATTACCCCAAAAAAATCCCGAGACATTTAAGTGAGACATTATCGTATGAACTACTTAAGTAATCGCTAAAAGGTAAACAAGAGAACTTAATTCTACCACATTGTTGCTGCTAGAGCTAATGACGGACTCAAGTTCACTCCACGAGTTAGTTGCATCAACGAATTGGCCATCCTCTAGCTGCTGCTTGATCTTCTGAGCTATACTGTTGTCCAAAATGGTCTTGTTAGATATAATTGAGACGTTGGTATAATCTGTTTCAGAAGATGGAAGGGAATTGAGACACAACAACTTGCCTATTTGATTTTTGCATGCCGTTATCGTCAAGGCGAGAGACATCTTTCAGAAGAGGACCCCACGAGAACTGCAATGTGGGTTTAGGTGAAAAGTTGAAAAACAAGAACTTGAAAAGTAAAACTGACAGCTAAGAAGCGAGAACCATTCAAGTATTTACCACAAAATCTTCAGGGGAGATCCAACTGTCTCCTAATGCCACTCCTGCGGAAAGGACGCAAAGATAGTATCAATGAGCTGATCTCATTCATGTAAAACTGCACAGGGGTCAATTACTTGTATTACCTCCAAGGATAAGCTTCAATGTCTTGGCTTCAATGGCCATTAGTGCGGATAGTGCAAGAGTAACAGCGAATTTCCCACCATAAGACTCTGCTACGATGTACAGAGGACTGCGTTGAAGGCTTTTAGTCTCATTGAATACCTCGATCAACAATGTAGTCAAGTCAGTGGCTGCTTCATCATCTGTTTTAACGAATAACTTTTGATCCTCCACGTAACTATATCCTGTTCCAACTGGATTGTCCTATATTATATTGTAACAGCAAAGCATTCAGTGCTACTAGATAATCAAGGAATTGCTAAAGGGGAAAACAATCTGAAATCATACCACAAACAGGAGATCTGCTTTTCTCAACCAAGTGGAATTCCGGGGCTCCAAATTAGCGTCCAACGGCCCAACCTCCTCGAAATTTCCAATACCAACTCCTGAAGCACCCTGTTCTATGCTTACATTTCTCAGACTCTGGATTCTTCTGCTTGTTTGTTCGGTTTATAGCAAATTAAAGTAATACTTACAGGTCACCCCTGCAACCAGAGGATGATCGGCCATGGCTTGGAGGGATCTTCAACTCTATATGGACTTCTGTAAAGCCACCAGAACATGTGGGCTTCTGTGATAGGACATCCCAAAGTGAAAAAACAAAGCAATCGAACTTTTTCAACAACAGAGATGCAACTTCGCAGCTACGAGTCAAAAAACATATTGTGAAATTACAGAGTTGTAATGGATTTGGCTTACTGGGTCTGACTTGTACGTATCCCCATTCCTCTGATCCGTCTTGAGTTTTCAAGGCTATCACTGGTCCGCCGTGAGATAGCAGAGGAAGACATAGAAGAGTGACAAGAAGAACGCAGTGATTTTCCATTTGAAGGATGGAAGGCAATGGCAGCGAATCTGTAAAATGAACGGCAACAAAGGAGATAGCGAATTAAAAGGAGCAGGTCAAGCATGGGGCACAGCGTTGGCAGTTTGTGCAATGCAAACAACAAAAAGATGAGACTGATTAGAATCTGATTGACGCAGAAGGAACAAATGAGGGGTCAATTAATGGCGTTTCGTTTTCAGGCCGGAGTAGCTTTGCCGGGAAGGTTTTATTTCTAAGCGGCTCTTTCGTAAAATTAAAAAAGCAAAATAAAAGCTGTAGTTACTTTCTTTACGTTACAAAAACCAACACGTGGATTAAAAAAAATCCTTTCTTTGGAATACAATGCGATAGAGACATTACAAGGAAAAGACCGAGAAATGATATGATAGGCTGTTAGTGATTAACAGTATTGAAGTTAAGGATTCATCAACCTATCATGAATATGGGGCATGAAAGTTCTAGGAAGCCAAGTTGTTTAAAAATCATAAATCCTATGAATCTTATTTGATTTGTTTGAAATTCTGTGTAAAGACTAAAGATACAGAGCTAACTTGTAGATGGACCCCAAAAAAAAAAGTACGAGGGAAGATGGGAAAGGAAGCTAGTGACCAGGATGGGGATTGAAAGATGAGGCAGTGTGGTGCTGAAGCTGATAGGTTGCGTGTAGAAAACTTGGTTTGAAGAAAGGGACGTGTCTTGGAAATACTCTGTAGATGTAGTTGATCTGTCTCTCTCCTTCATCTGGTAGCTTTTAGTGATAAGCATAGGAAAAATTATATTTTGATCTCACGGGAGGATGTTTATTACTGTAAAATCTCATAAATCTTATAAAATATTTTTAAATCTTAAATCCTACTGGCAGTTTGATCAAGGGCATTGAATGTAATTTTTTCATAAGTATAATATAATATAACGATGATAATATTATACAGTTGAAAACGCGAACTCGGATGATAGGATGTCAGGGATACTGGGGCCTTGGGTACTGATTTTGTGCGGTTATGTTGAGAGGGATAGGCGTGGTCTCTGTTCTGCACAGTGGGGAAGTGCATATGCCATAGGGTGTGTGGAGAGGTAATTCGTATATGTCGCATTGTGCACTCACTCTTACTTACCCCTCCACTTTTTCCTTTTAACAAAAATCATAATTATGGACATGAAAAAATAACTAATGATGGAAGACACAAAATCTTGAAATTAAATTTAACGACTATAGTTTTTTTACGGTTAAAAAATAGTCTTTTGAATAAAAGATCATTTACATTCACTAAATAATTATGCATTTTAAATAAGTGTGTTTTTAATAAAAAAATTGTTTTTTAAAAATTGTAAAAAAGGACCATGATTCTTAAATTTAATTTTATAATTTGTTATTAGTTTTTTTAGGTTTTTAACTGTAATTTTTCCTTTTTTTGGGGGGCAAGTTGGCATATATTCCACCAAAGGAGGGAACTTCCCATTAAATACCTTCCTCTCCCCATGTGGGTGCGTGCATACACCATTGTCTATTGTATTAAAAACTGTGTTTATTTGGTTGGTTGAATTGTTAAGTATTTGTTTTGATTGATTCAACGATACATTTTGTTTATAGTCAATCTGATCATGCTTCAACAATAATTTCAATTATTAACCTTCAAATTAATATTTTAATTAGTTCAATAACTAATCTGATTTTAAATATCTTAATATATATTGTCTATCCTATTTATAAAGTAACTTCTAAAGAAAATTATCTTTATATGCAATGTTACTATATATCATATGATGGCTTACCATTTTTATCTTCCAATACTTTTATTTATTGATCTCGAAAGTTGTGGATAAAAGTTGATAATAGTAAAAATTAAAAAAAATTGATTTTTTTGAGACAGATTTAATACGTAACAAGGGTGAAAAGCATGAAACACTTTACACGGGTGTGTTTTCATAAACCCGAGAATTCAATTTTTGATAAAAAAATTCAACTGAAGTTTAATGCTGTGCGAGTATGAAACAACAGTTTTAGTCTAGACTAACGCCATTTATAGTCTGCATGAGAATGTTGGTATGAAGGGGGTAAGAGTTAAAGATCTCTCTCTCTCTCTCTCTCTCTCTCTGCGCGTTCATTTAGTATGAAACGAAACTCTATATCTTACTTCACATCTAAATATTTGATACTGAAAATGTTCCAAACAGGGTTGCGTTTGTGTGGGGTTGTTGAACATTCTTAACATTAACTATTGTATTTCTTTTTAGGGCTGATATATATTTTATCTTTAAATTATTTTTGAAAAGTATTTAGTGTCTTCAACCATTTGTTGTAGCAATCTTATATTTAAAATAGTCAACACATATCATATTTGCCCCTGACATTAAATGCATTAATATTAATCGTTAAAGATACTAACTAGAATTTAAATTTGATTGAAAATGACATCTATCATTCAAGTGAATCCAAGTTCATATGCATTTTTCATACATTTTAATTACTTTAAGAGTGAAATTGCTACAATACCAATTATTTATGACATGGGATGCTTCTTTAAGAATAGTTGCAAGGCAAAAATGTACCTAAATTTGGATCTATTTGGTATGATAGGTGTTAAGTTATCTAAGTATGAGTAAACGTAAAATGATATGGAATAAAGTTGGACTTTAGGTTTTGAATTAAAATATGATATCATTCCACTAATTTTGCCCGTCTCTCTCTCTTCCATTTACAGGGGTCGCTCCACATTCCCTACCACTTATGATATTAATTATTATAGATCCTTCTTTTTTATTTTATAAATATATATGTATATATATATATATTAAGTTATTAATTCTGATTTTATTCGATGTGAAACTTCTCACATCAACTTACATTTATGTATATTTGGACAACCTAACAACATATAGCATTTTTTTTTATCAAAATTAATTTTCAATGATTAATGTTGGGATATTTAATGTTAGGACCTCAAGGGCAAATAAACTATATTTTAATTACTTTTGAAGTGAAATTACCATAGCAAATAGTTTATGACATTGAGTGCTTTTTAGATAATAAGCTCAAAGGCAAAAATATATCTTAACCACTTTTTTTTTATTTATACTACAAGACACTCTCAACATGTATCGTGAATTAATATTAATAATTCATTTTTAATTTTGTAAAAGTTGACTTGCTTTTTTTTTTTTTAAATTTCTTTTAGTTCTGATCTTATTCACAACTACTATCCACAATTTCATACATAATTACTTAGTGCTTATTAACCAACACCTAGATACAAGTAAAAATGATATATATACATATATATGTTTAAGAACTACAAAGTATCTTACATCTTGGACGAATTATAACTTACTAAAAATATCTTATGTCATGGATAAAAGGGGTACAGTGCCATTTAAGGCTCCATATGGTATTGGTTGGTCATCGCACGCCCAAATTCTAACATTTATTTCGCTTGCTCTGGAAAATTTATGGCGGCAAAACAGAAACCTCACTAATCATTATTCACATAAAAATCACTGACGGCTGAATAATCGTCCAATGTGATTACTTTACTAGTTGGCTGCGGAACCTAACACGCTATATTTGTGCCTTTCACGTTCTTTGTTCTCTTTATTATTCAAAAATAAAAATTCAATGCATTGCCCCTTTGTTTTTCTTTTTCCTTTTGTGAGAAGGGGATCATTCAGCTTGTCAAATTAAAAGGAAAAGAAAAAGGAAAGCCAGGCGCAGTCTAGAGAATGTGAATTCGCTGCAGCTTAGAAAGGAGAAAGAAATTTAGTACGCAGTTAATGAATGTCTTTTTCTCGGATATGTTTGTATGGTGAAAAATCCAACGGTCATAACAAAACAAGACGGAGATATATATTACATACAAGGGCGACGGCTGTGGTTAATTAGGAGGCTTGTTTATGAATGAGGCACAGTTAAGCAGCGATAAGGGATCCCATGGTGACGTCCAATCAAAGGAGGATATAGCAATTAATCGGTCCTGATAATGCAGAAAGTGGTGAGGACTGGGGAAGCCAATGAGGGTGGGTGGAGATTAGAAACATGTGTTTGGTCATCATTGATTTGCTGTCATTGTCAATCACATGCTTTTGAGAATAATGTTCTCCAACAAAGAATGATGACGTGCTACTTTGTGTTCGGCCCCACGACCCAAAGAAAAGGGCCAGGGTTAATAATAATAAATCGGCTCTGTCTAAATTCAAATGCCAAATTAAAACTCCTTCATGTCTGGCCCTCTGGGAGACAAATAAAGCAATAAACTGATAATCAAAGCCATTCCTGTTTGTATTTGAATATGTTTTTGGGCCTTTGATAAGTTGATGGGTACTTGGACACGAACTTGATCCCGCAACAGGTAGGCCTTCCACCCTCCGCCTCCACTTTCAACCCTTGTCCGGTTGGTGAGAAGTGGCTTTTTTTATAAAAAAAACAGGAACAAAATGGGACCCAGAAAGGAATCCCAAATAAAAATGCAAATGTATTTACCAAAAAAAAAAAAAAGCAAATGTAAGCATGTGTATGATGCAACTAGATCCATTGTAATTCCACAATGCTCCCTTCACGTAACCTCTCTCTGCACCCTAGCCATGCCCACTCCAAGAAAAGAAGCTAATTAACCTGTTAGCTCAGAGTTCA